TTCTGAATAATTTTTATGGCAAGCTTTTTTCAATCAAGAAGCACAATGAGATTCGTTATTAAATTCTAACCGTTATCGAAATTCCTATTCAACACATATTATTCAAATATTCTCTTTGGTTTGTAGTGGAATTTTTATTAAAATATTTTCAATTAAAAATTTTTCATTAGATCCCTGGCAGGTTTTGCTAATACTATCGATCACAACTGCTCATTTTTATTGATCTGTTATTAAATCAACATCAGGGTGTGGTTGAAGAACTCTTTAATGAATAATAAAGGAATACATTAATGTGCGTCCGCATCGACAAAGCGTCGATGACCAAAAGAGTGCGCGGCGCGACGCGTGCATCGTTTAAATAGAGGAGAGTTGAATTCGCAAATCAGCGCGCTATCACAATACATTAGAGAAGTTCGCGCTTGTACATGATTCTTAGAATTATAACACGATTAATCAGTGAATTTTTATCTGTGTGTCAATTGTACACCTTATATTAAAGAGTTGCGTTTTAATTTACAATATAAAGATAACGTTGCAGAGTTAAAATAATTGTTTTGAAATATGAAATAAGCATGTGAATGTGTAAATATTATATAACGGCTAAGAAAGTTGGAAATAGTTGTATATATTTCATCAAAAATTATCGTCGATCGCTTTATGCCTGCCATGAAATATATATTTCCAATTATAAGACAATGACCTCCTTAATTCCCTTTTGAACTTATAATTTTTTCATATACTTAAAATAAATGGTTAACCTTATAAATAAAGCCGATCAAAAGATTAAGAATTTGCCTGAAATACGTTAATCAAATGTCGTGACGTTCTTTTCAAGACACAAACAGGCCGAACGTATAGTTCATTGCTTCGTCCTTTCGTTGCGACCCTTTTGATGTGGTCGTTGGCCTGCACATTAACTCTCCCTAATATGAAAGGTAATCACAGAATTTTGCCAGCGTTATTTCTTGGCCAACAGGAAATTTTATTTTAGTTTATGAATTGATACAAAAATCGAATTGTTAACGCAACTTGTACAGCAAAATTCATTTGTTTTGCTTATGGTGGTAGACACACATTGCATTTATCTATAGTTAAAGCTGTGGAACTACTGTAAAATCATTCCTTAATGTTTTCGATAAATAACTAACAGTTTTAACTTATCATTGAGTTACGCGTAGCTCATGCTATAATTCATTCGCGCATTATAGATAGGAATTTTCTTGCAGCACTATGGCATGTACTTTAATAACTTTCGAAGGAAAAGATATACCTAGACAACGAAAAAAATCATAGAAAACTTTCGTGCAACACGCGCACGCGATTTATTCATATTTTGTGAAACTCTAAAAAATTTTGTAAATTTAATGCTAGAAAAAAATAATGCTTTACGATACAGAATAAAAGAAAACTCGCCTCTAGCATACGTGAACCGAACCCAGGTGTTTCGTACGTCAATCATGAAATAACAGCTTTTCGCTATATCGCTTCGAATGGCAAATTTTGACCCAGAGTAAAAGATAAATTTTCAGTTTATTTTCAAAGATCAATATTAATACTAATTTACACTTCTTCGTTCATTGTAACGAGCTTTAGAAATAAATATCTTAAAGTTTTTACTCTCATGAAGTTAAACTAATAATTGGATTTACAACGAATCTCGAGAAAAATAATTATTATCAACGTGATATATCTAATTGGAGCATTTTTTCAGTAAGTGTTGAAATTTAATGTATTTTTAATGGAAACCCCCCTTTATTCTATAGAGTACTCTGATTTCACTTTTGATAAACGAGAGAATGCCAACTAGTTATTTAAATAGGGAGCGTCGAACTGTGACTTTCATTAGTTTAAAAATACTGTACGTCAGTGATATAAAAAAATTTTTTCAAAAGCATTTCGCTTTGGTGTACTTTTAGAGTTTTCAGAGAATGCTTACTCAAGCAAATTACCTGCATGTTCAAACAACGTTGCCAAAATGTCGTACGAAAGAGAAGATTAAAGAACTGAATACGTAACTTTATTTTTTGTGTGAGTAAAAAACTTTAACGATGTTCCAAAGTTTTTATTTATTATACTAACTTATTTTTACTAATATATTAATAAATAATAATTATTTACTAATAAAATAAGAAATAATATACTTTATAAGTTATTTTTACTATTTATTATTACAATTTTTTTTATTTTTACTTAATATGAAAAAAATTACTTTATCTAGCTATAAGATCTTTAATTTTAACTAAATTTTAAAAGTAAATAATTTTTATGTGGTAGTGTACTGTAATAATAATAATTAAACGTATCAGAAATAAATGTGAAATTATTACTGTTTATAATTTAATTAGCCGTGCATTTACGTTTCTGCAGAACTAACTCATTAATACCTCACTTGATGGCACCAAAGTGACGCGAATCTGAAACTTCATCGTCATAAACTATTTAAATCTATGTGCAAAAGTTTGGATTTCTCTAGTAGCCATAGTAGCTTTGTATCAAAGTTGAGCTTAACGTGCATCAGAAGATAATACGATAAACAAATTGCCATGCTTTAATGCCACTCTTACTCCCACAAAACTGCTGTAATGACCGATATTCTGTAAAATATACACTTCTTTTAAATATCTCGAACCCAAGCTCATTGCATGGTTATACATAGTCATTGATTCATTAATTCCAATAAATGTCTCGCTCGACAACACTACTTTACCTACTACTCTTTACTTTTTACGTAAAATTGAAAAAATAACGTAGATAAACTATCTGTTGGTTTTAAAATAATCGTCACTATTTATAATAGCTGTAATTCAACTAATTCACAGCACTAACAAGCGAAATAGGACATGTAATGAGATGATATTTCAATTTGGGTGATGAAGTGTTTTTTCATCCCCGCGTAAAACTTTACCTTGGACTGAAGGAGGGTAAAAAGGTCACGGGAAAATGAAATTATCACCTTCCCACTCACCTATCGAATCGTATTTTACGATGAGACACATTAGATCTCAATTAAAAATTATTCTTTTATACGAGTTCGCAAACATAATAGTTTGTTGTATGAAAATAAATAAAATTATCATTTTATGAAGTCTCAATTGATCGAAAAGTGGTCTATTGAGTACAAATTTTTGAAGTGAACGTTTTTAGTAAACGAATAAATTAGCAGATTTAAAGGTCGAGTAACAAGGTTACATACCTCTACAGTTTCTTTCATGCTGTAATTGAAAAAATACAGCATATTCCACATTTTTTAGCATAGAAATAATAACTGTTTCTTTGTTTTTTCCAAAACTAAAGAAAAAATAATAAAAAACATCAACATTATGGTGATTTTGTAAGTAATACTATTCAAAACTTTATCATTTTCAATATTTAATAATAAAAACTAAAATATCGGCTAATGGTCAAACTTAGTTGACCGTCATAAACTTTTAATGACAGTGGCCCGATAGAACAGTAATGAAGCAATATGTCAGTATCAAAAATAATAAAACAATATATATCGGTATCAAAATTTGAATAACGGAGACATGAAACTCTTGAAAGCACTAAAATCTTTGCTATAGAATATTTGAATACAGATTGAACTTTACTCTTAATATGCGGACCGACTAAATGGCAGTTACACCAAACTTTGAGTATATTTGGTCTAGTTTGTAACAACGTATCGTAATTTCCATTTCAATATAAATATGCTACCATAGTCATCAATATTAACATTTATATATTTTTCTGTTTATAATAAGAAACGGCTCTAAACTCAATGAGGCTAAACTGATAAAATGCGTAATGCCATTGGAACCTTATTATTTTCAAAAACATTATTTAACTAACAACGTTAAAGAAAAGCTTTGCTCGATGGAAAAACGTAAAATGCTTATAAAAAACTGTTTATTTGTTTAGGAAAAATTTTTTATAACTATATTTTCATTTGTAGATAAAACACGTCTTTATCTATAAATCATCCTTTCCTTACTAAAAAAATATGATTATTATTTTACTATGTGGCATCCGGCAATTTAAAGAAGATTAAGGACTTCAGAAAATTAATATAGACATACAGCTGAGCAAGGATTCTTGGCTTGTCATTACTATAAATTTATTGGTTAGCGGATAATTAGTTAAAATGATAATAAATCTCAAATGATGTACCTAAAATTTAGCAAAAACGCGTGCTTCAATGCATTTATAGATTGTATTTTTTAAATAACAAAATTATCTCAGAAAAAAGAGTAATTTTTAAATAAATATTTCTCATCTATTTCCATAAGTGTGTACACACTGATGGTGATAGTGTTTTGAAGTACGAACGATCGCAACCATGAAAACTAAAGAAAATTTAATTGAATACGAAGAAAATATTTAGCTTGAAGTAATTGTTGACAAGAATTTATGAATTAATTGGCGAATGGTTTACTTCAGAATAAACGACGCTTCTCCAAAGAATCTTGACCACGCACGATTCGCCATCAATTTATCTGAAAAATGAAGCAGAATCTTTTGAAGTTCCATCCCTCCATCGGAATCGGACTTGCAGAGTACGCACAAAAGGATAGCAAAACGTATAAAATTTGTCATGGATGAATGATGAATGGAGCATTCGGAATGTGTAAAGAAGATAGCGTGGAGAAATAAGGAGAAAGGCAGCGAAGAGAGCGGAAGATAAGGAAGGGAGGAAGGAAGCAGAGCAGCGCCGTGAACGTGAGCGAAAGTGTGCAGGGGTGCAAATATTTCCCGAAGGCGGAGAGAGGGTGTATTCGTCGGTTTGCTCTCGCGTGCGAGCGTTCAGTAGAGAAGCAGCGCTCTTCCAGTACGGTTAGACTTTAGCGTGTCCGAACTCATTTTCGTTCACGTCGGTATGCACGAGTGTTATTAAGTTCAATCAGTGTTTCCGCTCATTGCCATTCATCCTTCATAACCATTTCTGTGTGCTTCTTCTTTCTGTTTCACTGGCGATAAGCTTTATTGCATTTTTTTTTTAACCCAAACTCACCGTGAAAAAACTTTTACGCGGCCCAACTTTTACGATGAATTTGTTTATTAACTTTGAAAAGTTACAATGGTTTGTTTGGGATAATTGCTTTTTTCGAACTTTGTGATGACGTTTAGTGAGCGAGAATGGTTCCGAGTAAAGCAAGTGCGCATTTGAAAAGAAGAAATTTGAGATTGGTGTTAATTAACTGTTTCCAGGTTACCAGTACGAAATAACACATTCGCTTTGATTTATTTCAACAAGCTGAATATAAAACGACAGCCTTGCGCTCGTGAATGGGAGGTGGGGGGCGTCTGGCGCGAGCACGCGTCTTGCTCACACGTAAAGTTACAGCATCGCAATCTATGAAAAGCGCGTACATTCAGACCTGTGACAGACAGCATCCAGGAACGGATTAATTAATTTGAATCAAACGAGAAGATTCAAACGTCTTAAAGTGCCGCGTCAGCTGATTGCCGTCTCCGTTCCTTTATTTTCGTCAAAAATCGAAAGTACGTCTCACCTCATTATTTTTTTATTTCAACATTTTTCTACAAATATCTTACTCATTCCAATCTCGTTTATCGTTACTCCGAAGTATTAGTGATCCTTGCGTTGTTTTCTTAGTATGATTTCTTATTTAGCTGTAGAGAACTGATGAGAACATATAAAAATCATCCTGTGATCTGGCACTCTTGAATGACGTAAGTATTATTCATTAATTGTATAAGTCTAGAAATAGTATTTATTTAAAAAATGTAACTTATCTTCAGTTTTATCTGGGTAATAACATTTTTATTGCTTCTGGATTTATACGATTTTCTCGTCACGATAGTTTTCCCTTTTTAACTTCTATTATTTATTACCTTTTTTATAGTTGTGATTTTGCTTTGTAACAATTTTTCAGTTATAATTCTATTTATAAAGACCCCTCTTTAGATATTCATAGATATTTATTTTACTGCGAGGTCCAGTCTCAAATACAGATTATATACCGAAAAATTAAAATGAGTCATAGAGTAGTCTCTATATTTGATGATTTGGTGTGATAGTTACTTCAAAGAAATTGTTGGAATTACATTTTCAAACGTAGTATTAATCTATATCATTTTTAATTGTTTCATTTCTAATCTTGAGGATTTTTTTACGTTAACTAGTTAGTTTTAAGAAACTTAGTTAGTTTATTTTAAAGAACCGCTCCTGTACATGTACTGAAACAGCATATATATAACGTTAGCTTACCAAAGTGTATCGTTTTCTCGGTATTATCAGATGCATTCGAGACTAAACCTTAGTGGAAAGATTACTTACTATTTGTATATTTATGGCTTCGACCAGCGTAAAATTGTGCTTCATATCATGGTATAGAGGAATAAAATAAAAGCAGTATTATAAACGAGATATATTCGTTGATCTTATTTTTCATGATATAGTGATCTTTGGTATCAACAGTAGGAATGGATTTTGTTCTTTTTGTTGTGCAAAATTTTGCATTTCATTGATTGTCTTCAAATCAACTGTCTATAGTTTCTGTTTACGTGACCGTAATTCAAATTCAATATATGTCCACTACATTCACATCTCAACGGTATCACAGGAATGTTTCAACTGAACAATAGTTACGACTGAGTTCAAGACGTTGACGTTCTCACTGAATAGGTGAAACTTCAGAACATTCGACTGAATTTAATATCTACGAATTATAAGCGTCACCATTGCATTATAAAAAACGTTAATATTTTATAAATGTGAAAATACGAGTTCTAAATGAATTTCGATGATAAATCTTGAAAAACAATAAACTCATCATAATCAGATAATTACATTTCATGTACGCGACGTTAATTTAAATAACTTGTTTATTTGAATTAAAATTTCAATTAATTTCTGTAAACGTACAATTTCTCAAATTGAACTTACATTTAATTGATTTCTATGCTTTTCAAATCGAATTAGATTCTAACGCTACAGCGATCTGTTATTAGCTCAACAGCTACTGTTCTTCAATCTAGTAAACTCTTTGGAGCATTGATTACCGCAATTGCAGCTAAATCGTGCAAATATAACCTGTTCAGACCTGTCTAATTCAGATTCGATCACTTTCAGAATAACACAATGACATGCGAATTTCCACTTCATTTCATTTTGTTCCATTATTCCTCTAATTTAATTTTGACGGCATAAAAGTTTTCAAACGTAGGTACAATGATATTGGATTGCGACTGTGACTCCTTTAATTTAAATAATTAAAGTTGAGCAGAACGAAATACAAAGTCCATAATAGATTAAAAAATTTGATACCGTTTTTTAATTGTTGCCAATAACAATGGGAATTCGCTTTATTGTTCCAAATATTTTTCCTTACATCGGATAGATAAAGGTTTCAGTTTCTTTCACGGCAGCTGCGTACGAAACTACGTTATTCCTTTGAACTTTGAAAAAAATAAACAAATCCTTGTGCTATTTAACTTCGAAATCTTTGCTTCCTAATTAATTGATTTACTGATATATTGAATCGGTAAAAAAATTTCAGCTATATTAAATAGAATCAAGTAACTTTCTGAGTAAACTTTCGTACAAATACGAAATCACGCCTGCCAAAACTTAGGAAAGCCTATGTCAATGGTAAGTGCATAGAGAATATATTAAGGTGTTGCTTCTAGAATTAACCACGCGACAAGAAGATGAACTTTCTCCAAGACCATAAATTGTTCACTATAGAAGCAAACAGCAAGCTCACCAGTTTGCAAACAATATACGCTAACTTATTGGCTTCTTATTAAAAAAGCATTCAATAAATCAATATAACCCCGACTACGTTATAGAATTTTTAAAAGTATGATTTATTGTAACGAGTATGAAATGAAAAACCTGATAAAGTCAGCGCTTTCCATAAATAATTGTGAGCGTTTCATTTTATTCACCAGATGTAAAACAATTAGTTTACCAAGAAAATCAAGCGATATTCGACATAGACCCTTGTTCGGGTGTCTGATCCCAATGTGTCTTTCAGCAAAACACTAGTTTTTTTGTTTCCTATGAAAAGTGACTCGCACTTTCCTTTGACTAAGTAAACTCGTAACAATTTCACACAAGTTGTTGACCTTGACCTATGATGCTGGCATTCTTATAAATATATCGAGCTTTATTCTCCGAACATCTTTGTTGCTCCATTATTCAGTGCGTATTGCTCTGCTATATGGCTTAATAATTATGGTAAAGCAAGTTAATTACCTGTTTAACCAAGGTCATCAAGATTACATTTTCAGTTTTGCAGCGTAATGGGTTTCCGCGATTTTTAAGTATAATTAAAGTAGACAGGTCGTAAGTGTAGAAAGTAATGAGCTCAAAGTAAAATAGACATCGAATTATTATTCGTAAAATTATTTATGTTTAATGGTTTCATAAGTTATTTTATAATTTTTATGAGGTACAAGGACTGTCTTACTGCTACATTTTGACATAATTAATTTCTTGACGTCTTTTAGAAAGCCATTCGGGGACAATAAAGATATATTGACATCAGACATTCGTATTAATTTTTTATTAATTTTTATCATTCGGCTTTGATATGACAATAAAAAGATAAACAAAGCATCAACGGAAACGGTGCATTTGTTTTCCTGAATTTCAGACATTAACACATTTTAGAACATACCTGTAGATCAGATAATCAGGTGATAAAACTAAGAGTATAAAAATGATCTTATAAAACTAAATAACTTTAATGGGTACAGGAATTTTATTGACAAAGTTGACAATAATAAATCATAGAAAAATGTTCATATTGAACAATATATTGATGAAAAAATATTTTTTAACTAATTCATTTACACTTATACGTAAAGATAAGAATAATTTGTAATAAAAAAAAAGGTATAAAATTAAATTTGATGTCAGCTTCTTATCAAGCCACTAAATTTGGGAATATATAAATAAGAATTGTGCATATATTTAATAATTATTCATACTAATACTGCGGTAAAACTTATACAATACTAAAACCGAAGTTAGTAAAGCTTGGGATTTCAGTAGGGCCATAAATTCGAACATAAACTTTGACTTATACTTTTCAGTCGAATATAATAAAAATGCAATTACTTATAATCTATTATTTAATACAAATATCAGATCATTTTAGTGACATTTCCCAATAGGGATTAATTATTTGCAGCTTAAGGACTCAACGATTGCCAAGGAAGGTTCCGCGCAACGAAAAAAGTATTTCATTACTTTAGCTCCCTCGTATTTTGAAAGTTATAGATGAATGAAAATGAAAACAAAATTAAGAATAATCTTTTTAGCGTAAAATTTTCAATAATCTTGTCTAGATATTGATAAGTTTTTTATTTGTTTATAAAAAAATTATAATACCAAAAGTTACGATACGAGTGATTGGAATCGTTAAAAATCTGTTACAAATTTTTGAAAATTAATTGATTTTTATGCTACATTTTTTATCAATGTCCCAAGAATATTTATACCAAAATTATATTCTTAATATTGATAAAAAAAATTATCTAAATTTTTTATACTAGATCACTTTAGGTTTGAATAAACTTTAGCTAATCAAAGTTTTACGATTTTCTAAAAAAGCGACTCGTTTTGTTTTTCTAAAATAAAATAAAAAATTGGCTTTTCATGAAAAAATACACAGGGGAAGATATTTTGTCATTTTCTTACTAAAATTAATATTTCGATATTTTAACTTTACTTTAAGCAAACGAAAGTACTAATCCATTTCTGGAAAAGATTATTAAACACTTTATACGTAAAGAAGTATTCCTAAATTTTTTCATTATAATCCACCTATAACTTTCTAAATATAAAAGAGTTGAACTAATGGAACTCTTTTTTCGTTGCACAGAGCACTTTTTGACAGAACTGCCGGATTAAGGATATTCAATGATGTCATACAAGAGGAGCAGAGAAAAAATACCACGCACACCACTCGGCAACTCGCGCACCTCTACGCTTAACCAACAAGTTTTTGTTTACGATTTTCATTAAACTATCCTTAATTTATTTATGTATTTCATTACAATCTCTTATCTTATCTTAAATGTTCGCTTCAAATTAATTACTTGTTGACGATGCTTTCGTTAAGAGTTCGTGTATCAGAGATGACCTTTGAGATTGCTTATTTTAAAAATTTCAACGGAAAAAATATTGAAAAAATGTTGATATTTAAGGTCCTAAACTATAACATATCCCAAAGATTATACAGTTCTCTTATCTTTCGTTTAATCACCAAACATCCTTAAAAATGTAGTCAGTATCTTGGGTAAAACTGCAGTTAGTTAAAAATCGAATGAGATATTATTAAATGAAAATATTAGATTACTTGTGAGTACACGACAAAATCTTGACTTTTGATAATTAAATAATTAGCGTATTTCTCGTAAAGTAATATAAATAATTTGAAAAAATATCTGTGATCTCGACGTAGTTGATTGTTTGACCTTACTTTGCATAATATTATCGTATTTTTTAACGTCTGAATAATTAAAAGAAAAAGTCTGCAAATGAATGTTTGATAGGTGGCCTTTTGCCTTCAAAATGTAGTAAAGAAAAATAATCTAAGTCGTAGATTTTCATAGTAAATAACGATACTGCATTTGACGATATAACCCGCGTAAATCCAGATTCAGTGAGTATAATACGCCATCGTCGTTTACACCACGCAATGTGTCAACATTTATTT